AAAATAAAACCTGTGATTCAAAGAATTTTTATAAGATACACACCACACAGGTCAGGAAAGACACTCAGCCGGCCCTCTGAGGGGCTCCTTCCAAGTGCTGTATCCCAGTCCCAACGGACTCATCTCCCTACTCCTACAAAAAACTAATATAATAAATTTTAGCCCTAGTTCCCCTTGTTTCTTTTTAAATTTTCATTGTTCTTTTTTTACTTACACTTATGTCCATAAATGCTATTGATTTTTAGTCTTGTCTATTTTTCAAAAATATGTATCCAAGTTTCTTTTAATCTTTGGTTTTGCTCTCTATCCATTTCTTTTCTTTGCAGGTTAACTGTTGGGGCGCCCAGGCCACTTGAGAGGTAGATTTGCAAAGTCTATGTTTCATTGGTTGCATACAGTTGTCCTCTTCAGTTCATTATGGTCTTCTGAATTTCCTAAAAATGTGGCAACAAGATCCAGAGTCAAGTCTGATCCTTTAGCAATGGTAGAGGTGGTCCTTGGTGTGATTACAAGAGGCAAAATGGGCAGGCTGGGGTACTCAGGCACAGACTACAGTTGCTCTTCGCAGGTTAAGTTTCTTCTACTTCAAGGAACCCTCAGCTCTTAAGACATTTCAACTGATGGAGTCAAGTTTGCCCAGATTATCCATGATCTCCTTTAAGGAATTACCATTACTTAATGTTCACTGGTTATGGACTTTAATCCCATCTTCGAAATACCTTCAAAGGGACATTTAGGTCAGTGTTCGACTGACTAATGGGCCTGTAGTCTAGCCAAGTTCTTGTATCAGAAGACCATCCCAGTTATCAAATGCATTATTGGTTTAGAAATTGTTTTGATTAGCTTTATAATAATGCTGTTAGAGCTTTCGCACAACATATCAAATACTCTCAATGTCTCTGTTGAATTAAGCAGGTACAAATTGCTGTTCCCATTTTAGATGAAAAGGTGAAGATGTGAGAACTATGGTACTTTCCCCCCTTATTCACACGTTTGCTTTCTGTGTGTTCAGTTACCTATGGTTGCCTGAGATTTGGAAATATTAAATGGAACTTTTCAGAAGTAAACAATTCATAAATAGCGTGCCATTCTGGGTAGTATTATGAAATCTTGGACAGCCTTCTCCATCCTTTCCAGGATGTGAATTATCCCTTTGTCGAGCATGTCCACACTGATATGCTACCCACCCATTAGTTTCTTAGTAATGGTCTTGGCTACCAGATTGACATTAATAGTATTGCTGTGCTTGTGTTCAAGTAACCCTTGTTTTACTTAATAATGGCCCCAAAGTAAAAGAGAGGTGATGCTTGGATGGTAGTGATGCTTCAGATATGCCAAAGAGAAGACACAAAGTACTTCCTTTAAGTGAAAAGATGAAAGTTCTGGACTTTATAAAGGAAGAAAAAGAAATCATATGCTGGGGTTGCTAAGATGGGTGTATGCTAAGACCCAGTCTTCTATCCATGAAGTTGTGAGGAAGGGAAAAGAAATTTGTGAAAGTTTTGCTCTTTCACCTTAAACTGTAAAAATTGTGGCCACAGTGCATGATAAGTGTTTTGTTAAGATGGAAAAAGCATTACATTTGTGAAAGGAAGTCATGAATGGAACTGTGTTCTGGCTGTCGGCAGCCAGTTGAGCCAGAAAGCATTAAGCCTATAGGAAGACTGCAGCAGAGAGTCCCCTGAAAAGAATGACATCAGGCCACTTACTGTAAGTAAGGGATGGTTGCACAGATTCAGGAACAGGCCAGGACTGAAAAATAAAAAAATTATGGATAGAGAAAGAGACCACATTTACCTAATTTTCATTACAGTGTATTATTATAATTATTTGGTTTTATTATTAATTATTGTCATTAATCTCTTACTGTGCCTAATTTATAAATTCAAATGTATCATAGGTATGTATGTATAGTATACATACCCTGAGGGTCTTGAAACATATACCCCTTGATTCGGGGGGACTCCCGTAATGAAGACTGTGAAGCTAATCGATAGTCATTTTCGGACTGCATCCTAGGTGGCGTCCCAACCAGGAATGGTTCCATCTCCTTCCTCACGCTGTCCGTTGGACTTCTCATACTGGTCACCTTCTCCCGATACTGCAAAGATAATTGTGTTTCTTAGGTTAAAACTTTTTTTCTTTTCTAGTAGCTGAGTTCATTTTCCATTATTCTTGTGATCCTGAGTCTAGTAAGCCGTTGTCCCCAGCACATTTCTATCCCGCTTTGTATCAGAATTATAGTAATTGCCGCCTTTCTTTTTCTGTGTCAGATAGTATTCACCTCATTCAGTCCTTTCATTGCCAAATAGTAAATACTTTGGTGAACTGAGCTGTTATCAGTTTACTGTAATTATTCATAGAGAGACGCCATTTTCCTGTTTAGTGTTTGATCTATTAAAATAAGTGTAATTTCTAGTAGATATGTTTTTCTCCAAGTAATAACATAGGGTTTCTAATCTCTAAGTTTGTCATGATACCCTTTCATGTTTCTAAATTGCTTCAATTTAATTATTCGATGATGAGGATGATGATGGCAGCGATGATAGAGATCGCTGTGTCATCGCTGTGATAGTGAAAGAAAATCCATCGGGCCCACAGTCCCATATGCTCCTTGGCTTAATGGGGTTAGGTTATTGCATGGGCCACTTCAATCTCACTTAATTATGGTGTTCAAATTTACTTAGTTTTGGGAAGAAATGACAAGTAGTGACAAGTCGTATGGCTATTAAACAGGAACCTAAATACCAAGCATAGAAAAACAGTCTCTTTCCAGGCTCTTCAGCTCGATGAGGACAAAGGAGTTATGTGTCATTATGTGCTCAGGAAAAGCAGTAAAAAAATAAATAAAACAATGAATGCAATTTTATTTTTTTCTTTAAGTCAATAGAGTGAAATCATCTCTGGAAGTGTTCGAAGTGCCACATTATTTAATTTAAAATTAAATGGTATTAATTTATTACTCAACCTTTGAAAAGAAAAGGTGAAATAAACTGTACCAGGTTCTAACTGTATCATATTAACTTTTAGGATTTCATTCTGAAAGTAATAGACAATGATTACTTTTATGCCACTTAACAGGAAATCCAGCAAAAAGGGGGTTCTAGAAATTGTTGGCAGTATTTAAGAACCTGATTCTGTTTTTCTCCTTGACCTGCCATCCTTAGCTCATTGGGCCAGGCTTTGAGACTAAGAAATGAAGACCCACTGCGTCTTCTCTAGAAGTGAGGAAACCTATCTGGAAGTGACTTGACCTATTTCTATATAGCTCTTTGGACAGAATCGGGGTACACACCCAGTTTTAGGCTTGTCACTGCTAATGGGAATAGGACCATTATGGTTGGTTTAAATCAATGTGTCTAGGACTATAATATCTTGATCCATAACCTTGGGACCTTTTTAATGTGCAGATTTTGGTTTAGGAGGTTTAGAGTGACCTGTAGACTTTGTAATAATCTCAGAGGGGATCCTGATGCTGCTGGTCTGTAGACTACATTGTGAGTAGCAAAGGGTTGTGGCTGTGTTAATAACCTCATTACTGTAGATGTTGGGAATTAACCAATATTGCCAGGAACTGAAGTAGTCAAACACTGCATACATCCAGTGAAGCTTTGTTGGCTTACCAGAGAGTTGACGGTACTTAGGGAATACAGTGACTTGCCAGAGAAGTAAGTGAGTGAGTAAGTGAGTGGTAAGTGAGAAGTCTCTGCAGCCTACCCTGCAGACGAAATATATAAGAAAGAATGACAAGGATCTGCAGATGGGGAAGGGGAATAGGGGAAAAAAAAATAAATGATAGGTTCTAACACTTGGATCATATCATTTATTAAAAAATGTATTCCTCAGTATTTCTCAGAGTTAGGGTTATTTAGAATGAAAAAATCATATAAAATCTCTAAGCAGGATGAAGAACCTGGAACTGAAAAAGAAATAAATGAAGGCAGAAAACTATACACAATCATTGCTACATGAGAGAAATTTACCATTAGCTATTACTGCCTTCTTCGTAGCTCTGCCCACTCTACTAAAATGATTGGTTGTAGTAAGGCAAAGACCTATCATTTTGGATTATAAAAGAAAAAGTAATCATTATTTTTGACTTATGTACTTGTCATCAACTGCTATATTTAACTGTAATGCATTACCAGAAGTTGAGTAAATAAAACAATGTCTGATATAGTAGGTTATATTTTCTCAATGGTAACAATGCATTGATTAAGGCTCAACAACAAATAATCAATTTGTTGGGTCAGACATATGATACCAGTAAAAACAGCAGCTTTGGTTCAGTTTAAAAGAAGTACTGCTGGATTTTGTGTCATCAAACCCAGTAAAAGTTTGTAGGGGCTACATAAACATTTTCCGCTAATTTAGCAGTAAGAATCATTTATCACATATATTGGTCACTAAGATGCTTTGGATTTATGGAAATGTTAAAAACCTGTTTTTTTAAAAAGATTGGTTTCTGTTTGCAGAGACGAAATGGAGAGGATATACCAGTAGCCCAGACTAAGAACATTAATCACAGAAGATTTGCTGCTTCCTTTAGATTGCAAGAAGTGACAAAAACTGACCAGGATTTGTATCGCTGCGTAACTCAATCAGAACTAGGTTCTGGTGTGTCCAATTTTGCTCAACTTATTGTGAGAGGTAAAGTAAAATGTTTTCACTGTATGAATTGCATGGTTTTATTAGAACAAAAGCAACATTGTAAATATTGGGATTGATTTTTAAACCTAGTTCTCTGCATCTCAAATTACTATAAAATTATATTGTTATAGAAGTTCTGGTAATGTCATAAGGTAAAATTAGGACTGCAGTTTTACAGTTTGTCAGACAAGTTTCCAACAAGTCTCTTTAAAATGGTTTAACAGGACTAGCCATATAAAACATTTTATTCTATATTGCCATCATCTGGTTTGCATTTTATCTTTAGATCCATATTTCCTTTTTAAAACAGTTGCATAGATGTTACATTTGTTCTTCAAAACATTGTGGCAATACTTACCTGGCAGGGGAGACTCCAGGATCACAGAAGGTGGTTTGCCCAGGGAGAGGCTTATCCATTGCACTCCGGATGTGCTGCCCCCTGCCGTTTCCCCAAATATGACAAACTCGCCTGCATAATTTGTGTAGTAGGGGACTGCGTTTGCACTCTCCCCTGGCTAAAAAAAACAAACACAAAAACAAAAACAAAAAACAAAAAAACGTTCTGGCAATGAGGTCAACCTCAAAGTTTCTATCCCTATGTAGACCTGTAAATTTACTGGTATCAAAACTCAGTGGTGGATGCTCCCTAATTCTGGCCTCCTCCAGAGTCTCAGAGTTACACTTGCTAAGAGGTCCTCATTAATATTCTTGAGTACCAAGGCTACTAGCGGAATTGTGAGGGATAATGACAAATGGGTAAATATCAGAAGTGAACACTGGAAAGATAAGTACAAGTATGTAATGTGTTACCACATCCTTTCAAAATATACTGAGTCCATTTTATTCCATACACTGTTCTAGGCTGTAGAGATGCAGTTGTAAATAAAATACAAAGTCCATGCCCAAACGAAACTTACCATTGAGGTATGTTAGGGGCATTATATAGAAAGTTATTGAAAATACAGTATCATGGTATGTGTTATGAAGAAAAATAAAGATATAAAATAACAGGGACTTATATTTTAGTTAAGGAGATCTGGAAGGCCTCTTTAATAGGTGACAACAGAGCTAAAACTGTAGAAAGATGAGGACGTCTCTGACGTGAAACTTGAGAGGTAATGCTGCTTTGTTCAAGCATCAATCAATAATGATGCAAATGAAAATAATTATAAATTATGTAAGTCTCTTCATGGGGAAGTTTGCCAGAGTCCAACAAAATATCTAAACTGGACTGAGATTTATCAGAGGCATCAGGGAAGGCACTTGTAAGTAAGTTTTCTTTGAAATAGTATCTGAAAGTTGAGAAAAAGCTGCCCAAGTAAGGGGTGTGGATGTGGGGACAAGGTTAAGAGAAAGAATTGTTATCAGACAGTGAGCAAGGCATGTGTCAAAACCCCAAGGCTCGAAAGAGAATAAGATACGTCCATATTCAAGTTAATGTATTGTATAATGCTTGACATCAAATGACTTTACATACATTATTTCATTTTAAGATGTATTTGATTTTAATGCCTTAACCTTTAATACTTTTAGAATGAAAAAAGAAATGAAGCTCAGGCTATTTAATAATTGCCCAGAGCCACAACGATCTAACAATTAACTATGCCAGAATTTAACCCCATGTTTCTAGACTCCTGATGCTGGACACATTCTTTTCCACCACATCTTTATCTCACTATTAAGAAACTATTAAGAAATTACTAATAACTCATCATTAAGAAATGCTATTAGCCTCTTCTGATGTTCTTGCCTTGGCAGGTTTTATAGCTCATCAAAAAAACAAACAAACAAACAAAAAAAAATTTATGTTTACAGATTGGTATGACCCTTATTTTCAGAGCAACTTTTCTCATGTCTCCTGAGTCAGCTCAAATCACCTGCTTGATGTTTATGAAATCATAGCCCCAATTAATTGATTAATGAGAAAATCTGGTAATATTTGGCTCCAGGATTTAGGTAGAAAAAGATTCACCTTGTGTGCATGCATGCTTGTGTATTCATCTTTGTTGAGCTTCATTTCAGCATCTGTCTCACCTGAGCATACTTTTTTTTCTTTATTTTTATTGTTGACATTAATACAGACATCCCCATCCCTGACGCTTTGCCTGCCTCCACCCAGTCCCTGCTCTCCCCTTCCCTCTGGCCATCACCACACTGTTGTCTCAGTGTTTAATATGCTAGGGATATGGGAAGATGTGTGTGTTCTTGTTTCATCATATGCACCAAATCTGCATGGTACTCTATGTTCACGCATTACTCAGCCACTGAAGTAGATGATGGTTTTTAACAGTACAGCTAGAATACTTTTGAATACCTTATTATTGTATATACATGGAATTGATTTTTGAAGAAATGGCCCTGTAATGTATTAAACAGCTTACAGAAGGCAGAGTTAAAGTTTTTATCCAGGAGCAGGCTTTATAGATACAATTTCTTTTTTTATATGCTATTTATTTTAAGAGATTCATTTTGTCATTACTACATCTCCCTTGTTTATCTAAATCAGCAAGTAGATTTTACTTTTTTGTAAAAGATTTTATTTATTTTTAGAGAGAGAGAGGGATGGAGGGAAAAAGAGAAGGAGAGAAACATCAATGTTTTGTTGCCTCTTTTGCACCCCCAACCAGGGACCCAGCCTGCAACCTAGGCATGTGCCCTGACTGGGAATTGAACCAGTGACCCTTTGGTTCATAAACTGGTGCTCAATCCACAGATCCACACCAGCCAGGGCTACATTTTTTTTTTTTTTTATCCTGGAATTACTTTGTGGCTACTTTAGGATTGTTACTTGTGGAATATTTTTTTTCAATAAAATTTATAAGTGGAGAATTCTGAATATCATAGAAAATGTTGGGGTTTTTTCCTTTTATTTATTTTTATTTTTGTAAAGAAAGTTCTGCCATTTAACATATATTTCACTTTAGGTTTTATATTTTACCTGTTGGGTTAAAATGTGATAGTGCTTTGGCTGTGCTATCAAGAGTCTGCTAGCATTTTAGAAACATGTTTGGATGGTTTTGGCAGTTTTCTTTTTCTTTTTTTCTTTCTTTTTTTTAAGATTACATTTATTTATTTTTAGAGAGAGGGGAAGGGAGGGAGAAAGAGGGAGAGAAACATCAGTGTGTGGTTGCCTCTCATGTGCCCTCTACTGGGGACCCAGCCCGCAACCCACGTTTGAGCACCTACTGGGAATCAAACCAGCAATACTTTGGTTTGCAGGCCAGCACTCAATCCAGTGAGCCACACCAGCCAGGGTGGCAGTTTAATTTTTCTTTTCAACATACTTTATTTTGTTATATATATAATATTTACAGGTGATACTTTCCTTTCTGCTGTATTTGAGAACAAATAAAGAGCAATAAATTTTCTTGTTTGACCAGGTAAACACCAAATAAATATTGCTAACCCACACACCCTTCAGGGGTCAGCTGTCCTGGTGTTGAAATAGTGCTGAGAATTTACTATGGTGACTAGTCCTGTCTCTCATTGGCACTTTCAAAACTGACATCCTGTTACAAGGATAAAGAAGATGGTAATTTTAAGGGAAATTTTGGGAGCAGTGATATGAATAGTCTTTAATAAGAGCTGGCATAGTGTTGCCTGCTGTCAAAGGTGACCCAAGGGGAAGAGTTTATTAGTGCATTTTCTCCTAAACTGGAAGTGACAGGGCATGCTTAAGGCTTTTTTGTTTCTGTTTGTTACAAGTGAAAATTTTACTGCAAAATTCTCATGTTGAAGAGTATTGATCTGTGTTCCCACAGCTAGAGGAAGAAAAAGTATACTGAAATGGAATTTACTTTGCCACGACTGTAGCATTGCTGCTTCCAGATCATTTTGAGTAATGATAACGTCTTCAGCTTGTGGAAGCCAATCTTTATTGACAAAGAAGTTTTTACAGAGATGAGATGAAGAGCAGATGTTTCTGCTCAATGTTTTTAGAAAATCAAAGTGTAAAAATGTGAAATACAGGTTGAAATGCTGTTTACTAGCTTTAAACCCAAAACACCAACTCTATAGTCTACGTTATGTTATAAATTCTCATTCTCTACCTACTTTGCAATCTTCTCCTTTGTTTTTCATCTGTCTGAATTAAAGACCCACTTACATTTCTAACCAGCGTAACCACAATAAACTTCTATAAAATTCTCTGATTGCTACAATTAACAATTTTTATTCCCATTTGTTAGTTATGCTTTATATCGATTGTGTTTATCTGGAAAATTCTAATTATACCTTAAGTCATTTAATATCAAAGGCACAGGTTTTTTGTTTGTCTTTGTTGCTGGTTTGATTTTTAAATTGTAGTAGCAACTATTAGCCATTATCAAAATGCTCTGTACATAAGTATTATTAATATTTTAAATGTATTTTTAATAAGTACCCATGACCTTTAGCTATAAAGTAAATGCCACTTCATTTATCCAGCCTAACTCAGTGTAGCTGGATCTGTAAAACAACTTTTGGTGTTTAAAATCATGAAGAATTGAATTGTTCTTGACACTCACCTTTGTAAGACAATGCCAACTAACCTAAAAAAATAAGGGTGTTTACTGACTTTTGTAACTGGAAGGGGCAGAGAGAGGCTTTGGTTCATTTAGTCATGAAAGAGCTAGATTCTTTCTAATTCTGCACTCAGCAGTCCATGGTTTTGCCCTCTTTCCTGACAAGTAGCCAGGGTTATAGTCAGAGGGTAGCAATATGGATATACTTCCTTGGTCACATCCACTTGGATTTAGAGAGGTTGTTACTTCCCATGAGTTTTGAAAAATTGCATGGTCGCATATGGAGTGACAACTAGAATGCCTGGTAGAGAATTTCTGTGGGACTTTAGAGCATAAATAATGTTATTTAGAGGGTATTAGTAACTCTTGTCAGGTAAGATAGCAACGGAGCAAGTATTTCACAAGAAGGTACAACTTAACCTGGAAAGACCTACCGAGTTTTGAATTTGGTAATGTGAGAGAAGGGTGTTACAGTAAGTCAGGTAACAGTATGGAGTGGGATCATGGCTTATTTGATGCAAGGTGAGGTGTTAATGGATTCAGTTGCTTGGTACCAGTTATTCACTACACATGTATGTGAAATAGGAAAGAAGTCCAAACTAACACTAGGTTTGCAGTTGAACTTTTTAAATGCTGTTCTTTTTGTAATTATTTATAGTTTACGTTCCATCAGAGCCTGTCTAGTTCATCTTTGTTGGCTCCAGCACCTAGTACACCTTTACATAAAGACATTGATGCTTTTCTAAAAATTAATAGAATTGTTTAGTTGAAGACAGAGCAGTGGGGCTGACCCTGAAAGATGTAGGGAATGTGTGATGAACCAACCACACACCCTCCGCATCCGCGCGTGGGGTGAAGGTTGCTGGCACACAGGAAAAGGTGATGGCAGTTGTTTTCTTTTGTTCTCTTTCTTTTTTAATATGAACTAGAAAGGGTTACTTAAAGTTAACGTTAAAATTTTTTCCACTTGAAAAATAATTCTGATTTAATCAATGTGTTATATTCTAGTCTT